TTTTCCCTTCTCTAGTTTTCCAGGAAAACTTTGAAATGTGTGAGACTGTATTTTCAACTTATGCAGTTTTTTTAGGTTGATTTCCAAGATTTTTCATGTTGCTGTTTTCCACTGGAAAAATTTGAAATTTTGGGAAAATGATCTTCTCACCTTCCTCTTTACATACAAAAAGTTTCAAAATTTTCCCTTCACTAGTTTTCCAGGAAATCTTTGAAATAAGTGAGACTGTATTTTCAATTAATTCAGTTATTGTAGGTTGATTTTCAAGATTCCTCATGTAATTTTCTACTGGAAAAATTTGAAATTCTGGGAAAATGAGCTTCTCACTTTCCTCTTTACATGTAAAAAGTTTCAAAATTTTCCCTTCTCTAGTTTTCCAGGAAAACTTTGAAATGTGTGAGACTGTATTTTCAACTTATGCAGTTTTTTTAGGTTGATTTCCAAGATTTTTCATGTTGCTGTTTTCCACTGGAAAAATTTGAAATTTTGGGAAAATGATCTTCTCACCTTCCTCTTTACATACAAAAAGTTTCAAAATTTTCCCTTCACTAGTTTTCCAGGAAATCTTTGAAATAAGTGAGACTGTATTTTCAATTAATTCAGTTATTGTAGGTTGATTTCCAAGATTCCTCATGTTGTAATTTTCTACTGGAAAAATTTGAAATGCTGGGAAAATGAGCTTCTCACTTTCCTCTTTACATGCAAAAAGTTTCAAAATTTTCCCTTCACTAGTTTTCCAGGAAATCTTTGAAATATGTGAGACTGTATTTTCAATTAATTCAGTTATTGTAGGTTGATTTTCAAGATTCCTCATGTAATTTTCTACTGGAAAAATTTGAAATTCTGGGAAAATGAGCTTCTCACCTTCCTCTCTACATGCACAAAGTTTCAAAATTTTCCCTTCACCAGTTTTCCAGGAAAACTTTAAAATGTGTGAGACTGCATTTTCAACTAATTCAGTTTTTGTAGGATGATTTCCAAGATTTCTCATGTTGCTGTTTTCCACTGGAAAAATTTGAAATTTTGGAAAAATGAGCTACTCAGCTTCCTCTTTACATGCAAAAAGTTTCAAATTTTCCTTTTCACTTTTTTTAGGAAAACTTTGAAATAAGTGAGACTGTATTTTCAATTAATTCAGTTATTGTAGGTTGATTTCCAAGATTCCTCATGTTGTAATTTTCTACTGGAAAAATTTGAAATGCTGGGAAAATGAGCTTCTCACTTTCCTCTTTACATGTAAAAAGTTTCAAAATTTTCCCTTCTCTAGTTTTCCAGGAAAACTTTGAAATGTGTGAGACTGTATTTTCAACTTATGCAGTTTTTTTAGGTTGATTTCCAAGATTTTTCATGTTGCTGTTTTCCACTGGAAAAATTTGAAATTTTGAGAAAATGATCTTCTCACCTTCCTCTTTACATACAAAAAGTTTCAAAATTTTCCCTTCACTAGTTTTCCAGGAAATCTTTGAAATAAGTGAGACTGTATTTTCAATTAATTCAGTTATTGTAGGTTGATTTTCAAGATTCCTCATGTAATTTTCTACTGGAAAAATTTGAAATTCTGGGAAAATGAGCTTCTCACTTTCCTCTTTACATGTAAAAAGTTTCAAAATTTTCCCTTCTCTAGTTTTCCAGGAAAACTTTGAAATGTGTGAGACTGTATTTTCAACTTATGCAGTTTTTTTTAGGTTGATTTCCAAGATTTTTCATGTTGCTGTTTTCCACTGGAAAAATTTGAAATTTTGGGAAAATGATCTTCTCACCTTCCTCTTTACATACAAAAAGTTTCAAAATTTTCCCTTCACTAGTTTTCCAGAAATCTTTGAAATAAGTGAGACTGTATTTTCAATTGATTCAGTTATTGTAGGTTGATTTTCAAGATTCCTCATGTAATTTTCTACTGGAAAAATTTGAAATGCTGGGAAAATGAGCTTCTCACTTTCCTCTTTACATGTAAAAAGTTTCAAAATTTTCCCTTCTCTAGTTTTCCAGGAAAACTTTGAAATGTGTGAGACTGTATTTTCAACTTATGCAGTTTTTTTAGGTTGATTTCCAAGATTTTTCATGTTGCTGTTTTCCACTGGAAAAATTTGAAATTTTGGGAAAATGATCTTCTCACCTTCCTCTTTACATGCAAAAAGTTTCAAAATTTTCCCTTCACTAGTTTTCCAGGAAATCTTTGAAATAAGTGAGACTGTATTTTCAATTGATTCAGTTATTGTAGGTTGATTTTCAAGATTCCTCATGTAATTTTCTACTGGAAAAATTTGAAATGCTGGGAAAATGAGCTTCTCACTTTCCTCTTTACATGTAAAAAGTTTCAAAATTTTCCCTTCTCTAGTTTTCCAGGAAAACTTTGAAATGTGTGAGACTGTATTTTCAACTTATGCAGTTTTTTTAGGTTGATTTCCAAGATTTTTCATGTTGCTGTTTTCCACTGGAAAAATTTGAAATTTTGGGAAAATGATCTTCTCACCTTCCTCTTTACATGCAAAAAGTTTCAAAATTTTCCCTTCACTAGTTTTCCAGGAAATCTTTGAAATAAGTGAGACTGTATTTTCAATTGATTCAGTTATTGTAGGTTGATTTTCAAGATTCCTCATGTAATTTTCTACTGGAAAAATTTGAAATGCTGGGAAAATGAGCTTCTCACTTTCCTCTTTACATGTAAAAAGTTTCAAAATTTTCCCTTTTCTAGTTTTCCAGGAAAACTTTGAAATGTGTGAGACTGTATTTTCAACTTATGCAGTTTTTTTAGGTTGATTTCCAAGATTTTTCATGTTGCTGTTTTCCACTGGAAAAATTTGAAATTTTGGGAAAATGATCTTCTCACCTTCCTCTTTACATGCAAAAAGTTTCAAAATTTTCCCTTCACTAGTTTTCCAGGAAATCTTTGAAATAAGTGAGACTGTATTTTCAATTAATTCAGTTATTGTAGGTTGATTTTCAAGATTCCTCATGTAATTTTCTACTGGAAAAATTTGAAATTCTGGGAAAATGAGCTTCTCACCTTCCTCTCTACATGCACAAAGTTTCAAAATTTTCCCTTCACCAGTTTTCCAGGAAAACTTTGAAATGTGTGAGACTGCATTTTCAACTAATTCAGTTTTTGTAGGATGATTTCCAAGATTTCTCATGTTGCTGTTTTCCACTGGAAAAATTTGAAATTTTGGAAAAATGAGCTACTCAGCTTCCTCTTTACATGCAAAAAGTTTCAAATTTTCCTTTTCACTTTTTTTAGGAAAACTTTGAAATGTGTGAGACTGTATTTTCAACTTATTCAGTTTTTTTAGGTTGATTTCCAAGATTTTTCATGTTGCTGTTTTCCACTGGAAAAATTTGAAATTTTGGGAAAATGATCTTCTCACCTTCCTCTTTACATGCAAAAAGTTTCAAAATTTTCCCTTCACTAGTTTTCCAGGAAATCTTTGAAATAAGTGAGACTGTATTTTCAATTAATTCAGTTTTTGTAGGTTGATTTCCAAGATTTTTCATGTTGCTGTTTTCCACTGGAAAAATTTGAAATTTTGGGAAAATGAGCTTCTTACCTTCTTCTTTACGTGCAAAAAGTTTCAAAATTTTCCCTTTTTTTAGAGGAATTTGTGGGGTATTTGGAGAAGTTCATGGTGTGGTATTTGGAGGAATTTGTGATGGGATATCTGGAGGAATTTGTAGGAATTTTGAGCAACTATGCGTAAAAAATTCCACTTTGAGGAATTGTTTGCATCAATTCTGGGATGGTTAATCTGTGGTTTACCCCTTGCTTACAAGTTTTTCTGGACTTGTACACAGATTTTGACCAATCAACCGCTGCGAAGTTCAGTTAACCTTATAAAATAATGAACACATATTTTAAATTTTAATTGATTTTGTAGGATTTTGAAAATCTTTACACGGTTTTACAGGAGTTTAGAAGATTTTAGATTTTCATAATTTTAGGTGATTCTGGAGCATTTTAGGGATTTTTGAAAAGTTTTTAGACATTCTAAATTCAAATGACAAATTTGAATGAAAAAACGAAATTCTTAGACATTTTACTATAACGATTTCATAATACTTTTCCTACTTTCATCATATAATTCTATGAAATTCCATCATAAAATTCAATGGAATTCTTGAACAAAAATTCCTCAGAATTACACTACTTATGAAATTTCATGAAATTCTTCGGCAATCCACTAAGATTTCAAGTTATTCCATGGGAATTCTGTGAAAATTTTAGGTAATTCCATAGAAATTCCTTAGAATTTCACTAGAAGATTTTATGGAATTCCTCGAAATTCCATTCAAATGACAATTTAATAGAAAAACACAAAGTCCTAGAAATTTTACCCTAAGATCTCATAATACTTTTCCGAATTCCACCATAAGGTTCTATGGAATTCCACCATAAAATTTAGTGGAATTCTTGTACAAAAATTGTCGGAATTACAGTAAAAGATTTTATGAAATTTCTCGGAATTCCACTTAAATTTTATGTAATTCGACAGAAATAACTCAGAATTTCACTCAAATTTAATTCAATTCTTCGGAATTCTGCCAAAATTTCTCGTGGTTCCATGTTTAATTCCAATCGAATTCTTCGGATTCCATGTAATTTCACTGGAATTCCACAATAAGATTTCAAGGAATTCCATGTATGTAATTCGACGAGAATTCCTTGGAATTTCACTTGACATTTCATCGAAATTTTATGTAAGTCGATACAAAGTGAAATTGAATATGATGGAAATTCTGCGAATATTTCATAATTTTTTTTTTCAAAATGCCACTGAAACTTTTCAAAATTCTATAGAAATTCCAAATTCCATAATTTTTTTGAAACTTTACTGAAATTCCTCAAAACTTCACCACTGAAATATCCTGGAATTCCACAAAATATTCATACATTTTTTTGGAATTTCACTTACATTTTCTGTAATTTCTTAGAAATTCTTCGGTATTTCACTAAAATTTTATGACAATTTTTTGAAATTTCACTGAAATTCCACGTTTTTAGTCAAAAATTTCTCGAAATCCCAATGAAGCTTCAAATTTTTTTTTGAAAATTTCATTTATTTCCATAAGAATTTTTCGGAATTTCACTGAAATTCTGTTTCAATATTCAGGAATATTAATGAAACTTCAAGTAATTTCTTGAAAATTCACTGATATTCCTCCGAAATATATTGAAATTGCATATCATTACCTGAGAATTTTTTCAAATTTCACCGAAATTCCAAGTTTTTAGCCGGAAATTCCTCGAAATTCCACTTGTGAAATTTTCTCTAATTTTACTATATTCAGTAATTCGATGGGAATTTTTCAGAATTTCAATTTCACTAAAATGCCATGTTTTTAACTGGGAATTCCTGAATAAAAATAAAACTTCATGTAATTACATTAGGATTTTTCGGAATTTCACTGGAATTCCTTATGAAACGATAAGAATTGTTCCACTTGAATTTCATATAATTCCCTGACAATTCCTTGCAATTCCATGCAATTGCATCGGAGCTCCATATAATTCGACGAAAGTTCCTCGGAAATCATGTAATTTTTGGAAACTTTTTAAGATTATTTATGTAATTTAACGAGCACTGAAATTTCATGTTGGGAGTTTCAGTGTAATTCAATGTAATTGTTTAGAATTTCTCCATGCAAGTCATTCAAGATTTTATGTAATTTCTCGAAATTTCATGTAATTCGAAAGGAACTAATATTCAATGTGAATTCTATGGAAATTTCGCAAAAATTTCACATGTCACATTTCACACCATAAAATTCAATGGCATTCTTGGAATATTTTTTTCTTCGAAATTACAATATATAATTTCATGAAATTTTTCGAAATTCCACTAAAATTTCCAGTTATTCCATGGGAATTCCGCGAAAATTTTAGTCAATTCCATAGAAATTCCTTAGAATTTCACCAGAAGATTTTATGGAATTCCTTAAAATTCCATTCAAGTGATAAATTTGAATGGAAAAACGTTCCTAGAAATTTTACTATAAGATTTCATAATACTTTTCCGAATTCCACCATAAGGTTCCATGAAATTCCATCATGAAATTCAATGGAATTCTTGTACAAAAGTTCCTCGGAATTACATTACAAGATTTCATGAAATTTCTCGGAATTTTACTAAAATTTTATGTAATTTGACAGAAATTATTCAGAATTTCACTAAAATTTAATTCAATTCTTCGAAATTCCGCTGAAATTTCACGTGGTTCCATGAAAATTTTGTTTAATTCCAAGGGAATTCTTCGGATTCCATGTAATTTCACTGGAATTTCACAATAAGATTTCAAGGAATTCCATGTATGTAATTCGACAAGAATTCCTTGGAATTTCACTCGACATTTCATCGAAATTTTATGTAAGTCGACACAGAGTGAATTTATATAATAATTTGATAGAAATTCTGTGAATATTTCATAATTTTTTTTTTTTTTCAAAATCCCACTAAAATTCTCCAAAATTCTATAGAAATTCCAAACTCCATATTTTTTTTTGAAACTTTACTGAAATTCTTCAAAACTTCACTACTGAAATATCCTGGAATTTCACTGACATTTCCTGTAATTTCTTAGAAATTTCTCGGAATTTCACTAACATTTTATGAGAATTTTATAAAATTTCACTGAAATTCCACGATACCTATTAGTCGAAAATTTCTCGAAATCCCAATGAAACTTCAGTTTTTTTTTCAAAATTTCATTTATTTTCATGAGAATTTTTCGGAATTTTCCTGAAATTATCATTCAATAGTCAGGAATTTCTGAGAATATTAATGAAACTTCAAGAAATTTCTTGAGAATTCACCGATATTCCTCTTAAATATATTGAAATGTCATATCATTACATGGGATTTTTTCCAAATTTCACCGAAATTCCAAGTTTTTAGCTCGGAATTCCACTTTTGAAATTTTCTCTAATTTTACTAAAATTCAGTAGGTAATTCGTTGGGAATTTTTCGGAATTTCAATTTCACTAAAATATCATGTTTTTAACTGGGAATTCCTTGGAATAAAAATAAAACTTCATGTAATTACATTAGGATTTTTCGGAATTTCACTCGAATTCCTTATGAAACGATGAGAATTGTTCAAAATTTTACTTAAATTTCATGTAATTCCCTGACAATTCCTTGGAATTTCATGCAATTGCATCGGAGTTTTATAATATAATTCGACGAAAATTCCTTGGAAATCATGTAATTTTTTAAAATTCTTTATATAATTTAACGAGCACTGAAATTTCATATTGGGAATTTTGGTGTAATTCAATGTAATTGTTTAGAATTCCTCCATGCAACTCATTCAGGATTTCATGACATTCCCTGAAATTTCATGTAATTTCTCGAAATTTCATGTAATTCGAGAGGAACTAAAATTTAATGTAAATTCTATGGAAATTCCGCAAAAATTTCCCATTTCACGCCATAAAATTTAATGGAATTCTTGGTATTTTTTTTTTCTTCGAAATTACAATATAAGATTTTATGAAATTCTTCGGAATTCCACTATAATTTCCAGTTATTCCATGGGAATTTCGTGGAAATTTTAGTCAATTCCATAGAAATTCCTTAGAATTGCACCAGAAGATTTTATGGAATTCCTAGAAATTCCATTCAAGTTATAAATTTGAATGGAAAAACGTAAATTCTTAGAAATTTTACTATAAGATTTCATAATACTTTTCCGAATTTCATCATAAGATTCTATGGAATTCTATTATAAAATCTAATGGAAAATTTGCACAAAAATTCCTCGGAATTACACTATGAGATTTCATGAAATTCTTCGGAATTCCATTAAAATTTCAAGTTATTCCATGGGAATTCCATGAAAATTTTATTTAATTTTATAGAAATTCCTTAGAATTTGGCCAGAAGATTTTATGGAATTCTTCGAAATTCCATTCAAATTTAACATTTGAAAACGGAAACTCCAAAAAATTTTACTATGTATAAGATTTCATAATATTTTCCCAAATTTCACCATAAGATTTCATGGAATTCCACAATAAAATTCAATGGAATTCTTGAACAAAAATTCCTCGGAATTACACTATGAAATTTCATGATATTCTTCGGAATTCCACTAAAATTTCAAGTTAATTCCATACGAATTCCGCGAAAATTTCAAGTGATTCCATAGAAATTCCTTAACATTTCAACAGAAGATTTTATGGAATTCTTAGACAAATTTTTTTCGGAATTACTGTATAGAATTTCATAAAATTCCTCGGAATTCCACTTAAATTTCAATTTCAAAATTCCATATTTTTTTTTTCTCAATTTTATTCAAATTCCCCAAAATTTCACCACTGAAATTTCCTGGAATTCCACAAAATTTCCATAAAATTTTTCGGAATTTCATTGATATTTCATGTAAAATTTCTTAAAAATTTTTCGGAATTCACTAAAATTTTATGAGAATATTTTGAAATTCCACGTTCATAGCTGAAGATTTCTCGAAAGTCCATTGAAACTTCAAGGAATTTTTTAAAATTTCAATTATTTTCATAAGGATTTTTAGGAATTTCACTGAAATTCTTCTTTAATAGCCAGAAATTTCTGGGAATATTAATGAAATTTCAAGTAATTTCTTGAAAATTTCTCGGAATATATTAAAATTTCATGTCATTACATGGGAATTTTTCGGAATATCACCGAAATTCCATGTTTTTAGCCGGAAATTCCTCGGCATTCCACTTGTGGAATTTTCTGGACTTTTACCAAAATTCAATAAGAACTGAAATTTTATTTGGGAATTTCGGTGTAATTTCATATAATTGTTTAGAATTTCTCCATGCAATTCATTTAGGATTTCGTGTAATTCGATCGGAATTTTACTGAAATTTAATGTAATTCGTGAAGAACTAAAATTTAATGTGAACGCAACAATTTCGCATGTAATTCCTTTTTTAGAATATAACATAATTCTACCGAAATTCCACTAAATTATGAAATTCTGGGAGACTTTAACAGATTTTTGGGGATTCCCAGTGGTGCACCCAGAAAATGTGTTTGGGGGGAGGGGGGGGGGGGCTACATAGGTTGTGGCTTGTGTATATACACTGGAAATTTTGCATACAAATTGACAAAATTAATAAGTAAAAAAAACAAATTCTTGAAAAATATTGATTTTTTTTCCATCATATTTTCGCTGTGTTAATTTGTTATTCAATAAAACCCTATTACCGCTGTATGGTAATATTATATAACAAAGTTTTCGAAAAAAATACGTTTTTAATATAAAACCTGAAGCTTTCGAAACATTTTTTTATAGCCTCTTTTCCGATAATTTCCTAATTATGTATTTTCAAATAATTTATGTAGTTTTTAGAGTAAAAAATTGAATTTTGTAACAGCCCCAGAGACAACGATTAAAAATGCTGCTGAAAATTAGCTTTCTTTAATTATTTCCGATATATTTTGTATGTATTGACTATAATCGCCGGAATATAAAATATTTAATGAAATTCGGATCATAAACAATCATTATGATCCTTATAACATAAATATCTATTAGAAGTAAGAATTTTAAGAAACGATAAATTGAACTTTAGATTACATGTAGGGTATGTATTACTTATTTATATTATTAGTACGGTGTGAGCTTCATTACAGTAACTAGTGGGAAATATTACCAAGACGAGGTCGTAGACCGAGTCGTGGTAATCACACGAGTGGTGTAATGAGCGTTACCGTACGTGTGATAGGTATACAACATTTTATCTACGACCCAGTTTTTTTTCATATATTTAAAATGGTTTTAATTTTTCACAAAAGATTATATTTATAATTTTTAATGAATGAATTTTAAAAAGTGCCATTTTTCAATAAAAATTAGTTACTTTCATTACATCACTGAGTGATGCAATGTGGTCACTAGAAATAAGGGTTTTCATATTAGCCAGGATGCATTGGATAGTTTATAAACTAACCAATTTTAGTTTTCTCACGGCCATTTGCACTGCTATAACTTAAGGGATATTTAATCCAAGTGGAGCTCTGAATGTGACTTTCGTAGAAACAAAAGTCGCATTCAAAAGCTCCACTTAATTTAAATATCCCTTAAGTGATAGCGGTGCAAATGGCCATCAATAATTTCAAGTAAATTAGCCAATACTCTTGGTTAGTTTGCAAATGAGCTGTTATTTTAGTGAGAAAATAGCAAATGGGCTGGTTAGTTTATAAACTATCCAGCTAGTTTAAAAACTATCCAAGTTTGCATATTACCGGAAAACACGTGTGTCGTAACAGTAGAGACTTTGTACATGTTGATTTCTACGTTTGTCTCTCTGTATTTCTGTATCAGAAAATAGACAATAATATTGATACGATATCGATAATAATAATTATCAAAGAATATCAGAATATAAGAACCTATCCAATATATTTTAAATTTTGATTTTGCACAAGCACAAGAATGTTTAATTTATTTCTCAAAAAAGTTCATCTTACCACCATAAGTAGGTATTCTACAATCAAAGCATTTTTCATCATTGTAGAATCACCAAGATAATATTTTTCAATTTTACCAATTTTACGGGTAATATTACTCAAAATTGCCGGTAATTTTACCGAAATTAATTTTATCGGTAATTTTGCAACTCTACTCACGAAGAAAAAAAAAAACTAGAAAAAAAATATTACTATATATAACGACTTTTTTTCAAACTTTGACACCTCGTATTTCGGAAACTGAACAATCGCGAACCCATTTTTCTATTAACTTTTTTTATTTTAATGAGAACTATTTTTATCCTAGAAGCTTGATCCCACTATTCAGAAGCACCCTGTATATTAAAGAAAAATTTGTCAAATTTGAGAGAATTTTGATACCGTGACGCTTACGAAATTATGTAAAACACACTTAAATTAAAACTGTCTGGATTTTGACATGTAATGTCATTATTATACGAGGGTCAACTTGCAAAATGTCCAAGGAAGAAGGGATGCCAAATACAGTTAGAAGGAATACCTATATGAGCATCTTAAGGTGTATAGAAGCCGGTTAGAAATTCAAATTCCCCTAGTGGCAGTTTTCATAAAAATTTGCGTACTCTGAGTATATCGGGCTTATGTCTGCCACTAGGGGTCGCGGACTTAAATTTCTGACCGCCACTTCTGACCAGCGCGTATAGCTACAAAATATACAAATAATACAAAAACAATAAACAGGTCCTTAAGAAGGGTTCACTCTCTAAACGGTGGAGATTTAAAAAAATAATGATTTCACTGCCAAATTTTAGAAAGAGATAAACTCATATCTAAGTTGCCTCCCAAAAAACTTTCCGAATGGTTGCCGAAAAAAGTAGCTTTCAAATAAAAACATTACCGCACACTTGCTGAAACATTTCTATTTTCTATCATGGTTGAAAATAAAAATGTATGTTATATTTTTCTACTATATATTATGTTGCTATTTTAATATAAGTACCTATATATTTAGTATATTTTGTAAATAACGTTTTCTTTATATTTAAATCAAAGTTATAGATTTTAATTTATACACAATCTCACCTGAAATACATATTTTATTTATTAAACTGTTTTTATAATTACCTAATATAGTTTTTCTTACAAATAAATTTGTATATTCCTAGTTTGCATTTATTTATTTCATAGGTAAAGTCTATACAGATTTCCCAAAACAATAAATGGTACCGTAGAAATTTCCTCAGTAAATGGCCGTAAAACGTAATTCTCCCAACAGTATTTACTACGACCGTAGAAATACCGATAACTTGTCGGGTTGAATATGTCAAATCAACTAGACTTATTCAATGGCTTTGAGGATTTAACTTATTATCACCCCATTTGAAATTTTCTTGAGTCATAATGTAGATTAACCAATAGAAAAGATTAAAAACTCCGAAGGATGTTGGAAATAGAATTCTGGCAGCTCTGTCAATCAAGGATACACTGTTGATGTGACGAATTCCGTGATGCCCAGGTTTAGTTGAATCTGAAAATTGATATTTTAATTAATTTGCGCTTTTGCATCTAAAAGAATACATAAAAAAGGATTTTGCGATATTCAGTTTATTTCGGATTATTTGAACGAATGGGAATCATATATTATCCGTTCACAATCCAATGTCCACAAGTACAGGTAAAATTTATCACCTTTCAATACTATTTAATAGGGAAAGGTGATAAATTTACCTGCACCTGTGGACATCGGATATAGGTACTCAATTAAGAACCCAACGGCGCGATTTTTCTCTAATTTGTCACCCTGTATCTGTTTCCGTTTCCGATATCCAGATGTAACTTATTTGATCTGGGATACCTTGCATTCAACTAGCAGTGTCAAAGTCACTTCGTCTTCGATTGGAAAAGCGTTCCGTATCGAACCGAAATCTTCAGCAACCACGCCACTATCAACCGACGTTGTACCGATCGGTTAACCAGGTTTGGAAACTGAACCCAGCCCTAATTATTATCTTAGCAGGTAACCGCCATACATATCACACGTACTGTCAGTGTATCAAAACCAATAAAACATTTGATATAGGTACCTGCAAAAATCGCAAGTAAATAAAGTAACGTTAAACGTTGCTAGATTCATTTTGACCGCGTTTGGGTTTACGCTCGGTGCACTCAGAGCTTGCACTTTTGTCTCTCTTCTATTATTTTTGATACCCCAAGACAGTTATAATTTTATTGGGAACAAAATAACATAAAGCTGCGACTAGTCTAAATCGATAGGATTTATGGTCCTGATTAACATACTAAAAGTCCTCAGACCTTCCCCTAAGGGAACATTGTCAAAATGGCGCCGCAACGTTGGATTTTTGACATTTTTTGCTTAATTTACGTTTTACTCGAAAACTACTAATTTTTCGAGAAAATATAAGGAGAAATAAATTGGAGAGCACAAAAAAAACTTTAAATAGAGTTATTTTTGAACTTCCTGGGTACTACCCTTACCGAGATACAACCCAAAGAAGTACCGCCGAAATACCGCTTTCCACATGCAAGCACTTGAATGTTGTTAAGTTTTGTAGGAAATCCGATATAAATCCATTTTAAACGCTTCAGAATAGCTTTTCCGTTATACTTTTATGAAAATTTTATTGTTTTATACAACAAATTCGATTAACGAAACATAATATTACTAACGTGTATTCTACCTACATACTACATATACATAGAATAGTATATTACATACCGAGTAGGTAAGTGTTTCATTACTGTCGGGAGATTGACTATTAATATCGAGACAGAAATGAAAATTTTCCTCCGAGGTTTGTATACTATTTTATTTGCAAGCACACCATTAATTATGATTAGTCAATCAATTTTTTTAATATTAGGCGAATTCGGTTAATCCTCTGCGAGTTAAAAGATGACACTGTTGACAGAAGCTCACGTGATCTTTCATTTGAAGTAATAGAACTGATCACGTGAGGCCAGTCATCTTTTCGCTCACGGAGGATTAACCGAACTCGCCTATTCGAAAAATAAAACAAACATGCCAAAATGTGTCATTCACTGTTTTGACGTTTTTACCTGACATGTTCTCATTGTTGCCAGCAAAGGTAAATAAATTAGAGTGACTATTTCACTAGAGTGTTTTACACTGGCAAAATGTCATAGGAACGGCCGGTTTCCTACTGACAAAACTCCTACCTGGACAAAACCAACATGATGATTTTTCAGCGACAAAATTTTGTGTGGTTAATGTACAAAACTATTGAGTTTGACAAGTGTCACCAAAAAAAAATAAATTTTCCAAATGAAAATTTGGCTTGTTTCTCTCGTGAAATAGTCCAGTCGAATACCACTCAAGAAAAAATTATGTAGGTAAAATTATTCTCTTGGTTTTATTCAAGTTTGTTGCTTTTTGGTAATTGCCAAGCAACAAACTTTCAGGGAAGTCGAATAGGGAAATCGGTGAGGAAAATCGAAGAGGGAAGTGACACAGGTAAAGTGTCACTTCCAAATTTTTAAAAAGTCAGTAATGTCAAGATTACATATGTAGGGTACGAAACCTAATCGGTATCTGTGTTTGTATTTATAGGTATAAGTATTTTTTTCCGTTTGTAATTATGTAAATATTATATTTCTTCATTTCTCCAAATAATTCTCTTCCGACTGTACCTATTTATTTTTACATAGACTGTACCGTCACGGTTGAAAAGGCGAGGCGCGCTGGATCTCAGGGTAGCAACAGGGCGACGAAAAGGGAATATCTCTATATAGGTTGATAGAAGAGGATAAAAGATACGAGCGGGAGCGACTCGCGACGGTAACAGGGTGGCACCGAATGGCACGGCGCCAGTGGGGAAGTAGCCACGAACGAATAATATTAAAAAGAGGGGTCAATCGTTAATTGAACGCTGAAGGCGGAACACGGCCGCCAGATTTTTCCTAGACGGGGTAAATTTAAGACGCGACGTTCAATTAATTATCAAGACGTATATTTCTAAAGCCGTAAAACGACCAAGACGTGGTCGTGAAGACGTACCTATACTTAGTTGTGAAGTTGTTATTGTGATTTTCCGTGCCAATTGTATATTTATCAATGACGTATTTATCTACCATCTAATCTATCTATTCTTCGTAAATATTATTAAAATTCCTTATATTTTCAATGGACCGTTACGTTTGATTTTCTGCTTGCCCCAAAATACCCCTAGACAACGATAAAAATCCTACACATATATGGTTGCAAATAATAGTATATTACATACCAAGGTGGAAAGTGTTTCATTACTGTCGAGAGATTTTAGGTAGACCCAGGCGCAGCAGTAAAAGTCAAAAAAGTGACATTTTCAAACTTTTTAAAAGTCAGTAAAGTCAACATTACATATATGATTGTAACTTGTTTACTCTGTCATGATAGGTACAAAGATACCTATAAAAACAATAGTTATTTAAACAACAAATTTTGAGACGCGTGCGAAAAACTCCATTTTCGGAAGCAGTGTTGAAAAAAAAAAACTTTCTTAACCTAATAACTAAACTAAATATACTACAACCTGGCATTTCAGTTTTGAAAGTGTCACTTTTCCGCATTACTTCTCCACACTAGTGCGGAAAGGGAAAATATCTAAAATTGTATTTGAAATTAGTAGAGGTACAAGTATCAATTTTCATCTAGTCGAAAAAATATCGTTCCATAGGTACTCGTGCGGAAAGTCTCTTTTTCTCACTTGATTGCTTGGCAGAACTCCGCTTCGCATTGTTCCGCCAACTGTAATCGCGTGCGGAAAAACGACACTTTCCGCACGCGAGTACTCATATCAGAAATATGTTTCAAGTCACGTTCTTGAAATTTCCTGCTAATGCTTTTCTCTCAAAAAGAAAAATAAAAAAATCCTATGTCGGCGGTACTTTATCGGCTCCTATCTTGGTAAGGGTACTACCGCGGATGTTCGGTGGTACCTATGTACCTCAGATTTAGCTCTTCAATTTACGTCTCTTTATATTTCTTAAAAAGTGAGTGGTTTATAAGTAAAATGAAAATTAAGCAAAAAATTGTTTTTTGTCAGTACTTCTTTGGCTCCTATCTCAGTAAGGGTAGTACCCAGAGAGTTCAAGAAAAACTTATTTTAACAGTTTTTTTGTGCTCTTCAATTTACCTCTTTATATTTTCTCGAAAAAATGAGTAGTTTTCGAGTAAAACGTAAATTAAGCAAAAAATATCAAAAATCCAAGATGGCGGCGCCCTTTTGACAATGTTCCCCTAGGGAGAGGTCTAGGGACTTTTAGTATGTTCATCAGGACCATAAATCCTATCAATTGAGACTAGTCGCAGCTTTATGTTATTTTGTTCCCAATTCACCATATAAGAATTTTTAACTGTCTTGGAGTATGAAGCTCCGACGCTTGATAGTAACTGTACTTACTTAGTGCTGAATTACAGAAACTCTGCAACAGCAAGATACAAATGTAGGACCTGCAAGTCTGACTTTTTGTATTACAGAAGCAGAATGTATTTGCAAGTCGCCTGCAAATTTGCGCATGGCGAAATGGTCCCGTAAGTTCCCTCTGACAACTTTGACATTTTAAACTGGTAAATCAGTAGCGCCCAAACACTTTTTTTCCATAAATTTGATGAAATTGCAGTTTTTTTCTGTAATTTGCCCGTTCCTGCGAATAGAGCACATAAATGCAAGTCGGCCATATTTGCATATGAAAATATACTGTAATTGGGCCCTTAGTGTTTAACTTTAAGTTAGGCTTTAGGAAATGAGAGGCTTGAACGATCACTATTGCAGCGAGCTCAGCAACAAATGAGTAAGATACACCAGGAAATCCTATGCAAATTTTGAAATGATCTAATGATATCCTTCGCAACTGCTAGACAAATCCAACAAATGTGAAACGCCAATGCCAGAAGAATTGCTGATTCTTCAAACAAACAATTTTAGAATATGAAACAAACAAGAATTACCAAATAATATGAGCCCCCTATTACAAGACAGACTAAAATTACCTGCAGCTTCTCTTTGTCTTTGTCTCCTGAACTTATCATCTCCTTTCAGACAATACATAAATTGCTTCCATTTCGGTAACTTATTTTCAGTCTGAGTAGTTTTCTCAACAGTTATTTTGACAGGAGGCGAAGCCCTAGGACTATCGACCAGCGAAGTTCTCTTGGGGCTCTGATATAGTGGCGCTGCATTAAAAATAGGACAAACTATAGAGCTTCTTCGTCTACGACTCTCAGAGGTGGTGCTGATGGTTTCTAGTAAATCATCTGCAGTGGAACCAATAAATTCTTCTTCGGTTTCTTTAAAGTCTTCCCATTCATCTTCGTCTATTGGAATCTCACCGCTGCCAACCTAAAAAAAAAAAATTAATGACAGACTAATTCAATCACTAGACTAGACTCACCTTAGTGAAATAGTGAACACCAGCAAACTCTAACAGAGTAGCTATGCAATATAGGAAGCTCATCAGCAAGAACCAGTCAAGAGCTGTAGCGTAACGCACTTTAGGTAAGTCAGTTCTAGAGTCTAAACTTATTGTTGATAGAGTTAGTACAGTCGTGATGCCTTAAATTAAAAAAAAAAAATGTACCTCACATTTTTTTTTTTTATTGTTAAGTGATCACCTAATCCGATTCTATCGCTGGTAGCTTCTCGATGGATCCAGAACGAGACCCAAGAGAGAACAACTATTAAAATACAAGGGACGTAAACTTGAATTAAAAAGTAGCCAGTATGTCGTTGGAGGTTGAAGCTAACTTCTAAGACTGAAAATTCCCCTGGAAGAAGTTTAATGTAATTAGGTATTCAAGTAAATTAATAGTTCAGGAACCTACCTTCTCTACGCTTAAATGTAAAATTCCTAGAAGGATAACTGATCAAATCAAATTGAGACAAAGTCATTCCAGCTACAAACGTTACGCTCCTGTCGCTTTGCCATTGATAAATCAAGTCTTTTGAAGTATAGGCATCTTAAGAAAATTTTGATTAGTTTTATATGTGCTAACATAGATTAGTAGTAAAAACTAGAACTTAATTAGGAAACTTTTTATCTTCAAGGGTTCTATAATTTGAGCTTTATTGTCGCCAACACTTGACACAGAAGTGATCCTTTGTACCTAGGACTGAATTAGTGTATTATATACCTAGGTAGAGAAGTTGGTCATTATATACCTACTTAGCGCTTTTTAAACCCGAGGAGTGAAGCGGCGAGGTTTATAATGCGCAAGTTACACATATTATAATGAATTTCTCTACCAAGGAATATATAGAATTGTGAAAGTGAAAAAAAAGATTTTTTAAAATGTTTGAAATCATTGTGTTCAAATTATTTTTTCCTTTTCAAATCATCAAGGGCAAATAATGAACTACAAAAATTCGTTGGAACTCTCAACTCTCTGAAGATTAAAAGTTATCTGAATATATCCAATATCACTCTGATGATTTCAGAATAATCAGTCAAGAATTCCACGAAAAACTCACGATCTAACAAAAATCAAAACATTTCTCAAACAATCAAAAATAAAGGAAACAAACAAATCTAAGGAAATCCATAAACCAATCAGTAAGAAAAAAAGCACCATTTCCTCACAAAATCAAAATATTAGTTTCAACCAATGAAATTCACTCTGATTTTTGAATTCACTGGTTTGTGATTTCGCTACGAACAAAGGTCTGGCTTCAGATGCAACTCTACCTCCTACTTCTAATATCGGGTCTTAAAAAAAAGTCAATCAAACACTGCTATGGTTTTTTGAGTGTATGATGTCTTAGCGATATTTTTCTTTTATTTTTTCAATGAACTTTAATGTCAATCAAGGAACAATAATGCGTCGTAGCAACTCAACATTTGAAGTGTATTTTTTTGAAATAAAATTATTTTTTGAAAAGTGATTCCTAAGAAGAAATCCTTTAACTTGCCAGTTATAAGTCAAAAATATACCTTTAGCAGGCCAATTATCGTCGCGATCAGCTTACAGTGTATAGGCCGGCATACACACACGTTATTTCGCGCGGTTTATCGTGGCGTTTTGGGATCTAGCGGTTTGCACGCGCGAAAGAACGGCGTGGCAAAAAAAGCGTCATGTTCCATACACTTGACAAAGTATTCAAATGATTTAGCACGCGATTACGCGCGGCATATCAGTTGGAAAGGAAAAGTCGTATGTGTATGGGTAAAAAGTGTCATTAAGGCCGAAACTCACTAGCAACACGCCACGTCATGCTTCGCCACACCACGCCATGTGACGAAAATATATGCGTATATTCTTCCATTTATTTATATGTGCTGCGTACACACTTGCCATACGCGATACCACGCCATGGCACGCCACGCCATCCGTCCATTTGCACACAAACTGTCCCACGTGAACTTGTGTCACATGGCGTGGCGTGTTGCTAGTGGGTTTCGGCCTTTAATCGTGTCGTTTGGAAGTGCATGTTGTCATGTACTAATTTTCAACATGATAATTCGCTACGCGGCGTTCATGTCTCCGTACTAGCCTCAAAACCGCGACGTGAAATGGCGTGTGGACATGGTTGTGAACTGCACTATTATGTACTTGAGTACTGACGCCACATTCCAGATGAGAGCACGTCTGAAATCCCTTCCCCCGCGCAGTCCTCCTAACTCACGCACATGATTTTTCATAGGTTTTTGCAGATGACACGATAAACCGCGCGAAATAACGTGTGTGTATGCCGGCCTTATGATAATAATGTAGTTAGCTATAGTTTCAATCTACTCACAACTTCCTAAAATAAGTGGACAGGATTGACGGTCCATCGGAAAACTTCTTAATTCCATCGGACATTTTGCTTTTATCGTCAACCTAAATCGAAAATAAATTATAGGACATAATGACAATAAATAAAACAATTTTAAATCTATAAGATATTACCTCATCGAGTACAAAATATCTCCGTCTTGGCTAATCCTCAACAGCTTATTAGGCACAGTTATAGTGTGCACATACGAGTTTTTGCCATTGTAAAAGTAAGTGTCTGGTCGCCATATTCTTTCCAGCATTTTAATTGATAAAGATAGAGATTTGATCGGTCCGACGAAGGATAGTCTTTGATCTCTCCAGTATTGACGAAAGTAACAATCCATGGAGTATTCCTATAGGAAGATATCTATGTTAGTTAGATGCCGAGTTTTAAAATTTGCTGAAAATAATACACTGCCCGCCAACTGTTTTGGTAGGTATTTGTGCACGCAAATTATTTCGGGCACCAGCTGTGCTCAGTTCGCTAACTGGTCGATTTTATCGGCAAATGGCCAAATTTGGTATCTGCGTGCCCAACACATAATAGGTATAATAATCTAACACACATAACAATCTTGTAGCTTACCATATCTAGTTCGGATACGGGTCCCATGCTTCTGATGAGGATATTAGTTTGTACCACTGTAGGGTTGCCTGTTAACAAATTAAAAGAAAAACGATGTTGTTATTCATATTAATATTATAAATAATACTCAATGCGTTACCTATGGTGCTTTTTAAAACTTATAATTTTTCCACCAACAGTGAACTACAGTGGCGTATCCAGGCTGAGATTCTGGGGGGGGGGGCAGACCAGATGTCCACCGGAGGCGGAAATTTTTTTTAGGTGCCACGCCCAAAAGTCGTAAAAATCACACATCTTGATGGCATATTTGCGCGCTTCTAATACTTTTACAGGACAAGGATATAGTTTAACCGAAAAATAAGGTAGTCATGATTCTGTATTATTAACCTGCGAGCCGCCACTGAAAAAATGTTTAGGCTGTTCATTGAAACGATAAGAGGTTTATAACTGAAGTTATTTATTTTCCTGAGAAATCGACTTTCAAGAAACAAATAATATACCGGGTGTCTACGAAATTAGTTTCGCGCTGGCATTTGCTGGGTTTTTTTTCAATGGCAAAGATTTTTGGTATAGAGTATAGACACAATTTATACCGTACCGATACAGTTGTACAACTCTCCATATTTTTTGAGGCCAAATTCTCCAACCAATAGGAGCATTTTGTCCCATATCTTGCGCATGCGCTCAATGAGTTAACAAATCTCTCAAATTGAAAAAGCAGTTCGGCATATGTACATGCCTTTTTCCAATCCTGCACGCAAAAAAGAGATAGAGATAGCTTGGGTGAGAACCCGCGAGAAATAACCGTCAAACTAGACACGCAACAGGATTGTATTACAAAAAAAGAAGAGAAGTTTTTTGACTGAAATTGAAAAGTGACTGGAAAACTCATCAATTTTAAATTCGGCTTAAGAGTGTCTTGCTTTCCGTGTTATTCGCGATTTTTGTGTACTTGACTGTTTTATCGTTTATATCGAGTTTATATATTCTGTATTATCATGGTTGCTTCCTGTTTTGTCTGTAAAAACAACACTAGAACTAGCCCAGGCTTAGGATATTTCAGTTTCCCGAACGATGAACGATTGTAAGTATTTATATTTACATATTTCATATTAGGTTCACTCTATACTTTCACATAATCTTTGTTTATTATTATATGATCCTGTTATATTCTCAATGTTAATCCACAAAAAATCCTAGTCCGACTCTGTCCACGGCCCAGGATTCGTTGTTTCCGATCAATAATGCGCAAGCGCGAAATATAGGGACATAGAATTTGGCTTCAAAAAAGTCTATGGTTTCTCAACGGAGTTGAACAACTGTATCGGTACGGTATAAACTGTGGTATAGGTTTGAGAAATGTCATCTTTTGACATATGTGTCTATGTTTGGTAACTTCCGGTTCGACTGAAAATGGCCCTAACTTCGTAATTTCGAATGGCATCCCAAGAATTTTTTCGCAATTTTGGGATCTGCGGATCATGATGTGTATGACGTCAAATTTGAACATTTTTGAAGAAACTTAAGAATTCTGGATCAAAATTTATTTTTGAATAGAAAGGACAGAATAGCCTTTAAACTGTTTTTTTCAACTCACACGATCGTAGAAAAATGCGAATGCCAAGTTGTTATCCTTTGCCTGTTCTCCAAAGACTTCCAAAGTTGAAAAAACCACATTTTACGCGATAACTCAATGAAATCAGTGAAATTACCCAACTTTCACAACAAGAGATTTTTACCTTTTTCAAGATGAAATCAACTATGCATTAAAACTTTTCATTTGTGCCAGTTTTTAATTATTTTCTCATTATTTTTATTATGCACTACTATAAATGATGAAACTACTTATAAATGAACCCCTGTATAAAAAAACGCTGTCTAAAAGGAGCTGGTGGTCTTTTTCTACTTGTCAAGCCTTTGACAAAATCTATGGCCAAGATATGTTTGTTTGCATAGACATTTGTCATTGTTTGGCATCTCGGGAATTTGTAAATACAAAGTTTGAATACAGGGGCTCATTTATAAGTAGTTTTATCTTATCATTTATAGTAGTGCATAATAAAAATAATTAAAAAATAATTAAAAACTGGCATAAATGAAAAGTTCCAATACATAGTTAGTTTTATTGTGAAAAAGGTAAAAAACTCTTGTTGTGAAAATTGGGTGATTTCACTGATTTCATTGAGATATCACATAAAATGTGATTTTTACAACTTTGGAAGCTCTTGGAGAACAAGCAAAGGATAGCAACATGGCATTCGTATTTTTCTACAATCGTGTGAGTTGAAAAAAACAATTTAAAGACTATTCTGTCACTTACTATTCAAAAATAAATTTTAATCCAGAATTCTAAAGTTTCTTCAAAAATGTTCAAATTTGACGTATTCATACACATCATGATCCCAAAAATGCGAAAAAATTGTTGGGATGCCATTCGAAATTACGAAGTTAGGGCCATTTCCAGTCAAACCGAAAGTTACCAAACATCAACACATATGTCAAAAGATGACATTTCTGAAACCTATACTTTATACCAAAAATCTTTGCCATTGAAAAAAAAACCCAGCAAATGCCAGCGCGAAATTAATCTCGTAGACACCCGGTATAACACAAAACACAAGACCAAACTGAAGTTAAATTGAAAGGTGTGTAATACATACCTACCTACATAAAAATAGTTATTTTCTTAACGACTGCGCAGTCTGCGCAAAGTGATACTTTCCCGCAGGAAAAAAACGAACGACGCGAAACGGAGTTCTGATAAGCTTTCAGTGTGGGAAAGAAACTTTGCGCAAGTGTTAGGAACAATAACATTACTTTTTCTTCGAGTGTTTGAAGATTTGCATAACATCCAGAAGAGCTGTCCCTAATCTGAAATGTTTCCAGATGCTCAAAACTGGTAATTTTCTCTCTTAGGGCCGAATTTATACTTAGTCCTTGAGGTATCCTTGCCTTGGACATCGAGGAAGCATTGTACGTTTAGAATTGACTTGATAGATCACCCTCAAGGATCGTCGATAAATTTTGCCGCCCATAGTTCAATGTGTTGTGTGTGTTTTTTTTTTTCAGTGATCATTTGACTTTATTTGCAACAGTGGTTGTGCTAGCGAGGTTTACTTAAAATTTGTTTTTCCTGCCAAATTTTGGGACTAAACTTATCGAATGTAATACCACAAGAGGTTTCAAGATTACCGGATAATACTTTTACCTGCCACGAAACGCGTTACGCAGCAACACCACGACTCCGAAGGAGGAGTGTTGTTGCTGGTAACGCGTTGAGTGTCAGGTAAAAGTATTAGGTAATTCTGAAACATCGAGTGGTATTCAAAAGGTTATACAACGAAATAAACTTAAATGCTTCATTAATTTGTATTATTATTAATGACAAATGCCACCAAGCTCGATAATCCTGAAAGGCTTATCACTTATTAAGCCTCTCGTATCATATGGGAATAATGTACAGTGAGTTGTATAATCAGGATTAATCAGGATGATATTTTTTGATGTTACTTTTCAAATTAGTTTTACGTAGCAACAAGTACAGCATCTTCCAAAAATATCTTATCAATTTTCGCTTGCATTATCATAGATCTTACTTTATCCCGTGGCATAGGCGCCGGCTTTCTGAAATCTGTATGGGTGCTTAGCCAAAGGCGGCATAAAATAGCTGAAGGTTTTTTTTTTGATGCCACACCCAAAAATGATTTTTTCTACGAGCGTGCGGAAAAGTGCACTTTTCCGCACGCATTTTAGTTTAGAAAGTTTCACTTTTCCGCACAAGTGCGGAAAAGTGACAGATGTCACTTTTTAAATTCTGAGCTGACACACTTACACAAATATCAGCATTGAGAATTATTGAAACAATAATGTTATTTATTAAATTATTTTGGTTTAAACTTAACTTTTCTTGTGAAGTTACTATATAGAATGGTTACTTTATGCCTGAAAATTTCGAAAATTTCATAGTAGATACATTAAACGTACAAATTATTGTTAAAAGTTCTCGATTTTATTGTATTCAGAAGGCACATTATTTCAGAATTAGTTTTTTTTTTTTTTAATCAATAAATAAATAAGATTTATTTCTAAGAGTAGGTACCTAATTTATATTAAGAAAAAATTACTCGATTTGTTTTTAATACCAGGTGTTGCAGAAGAAATATAATCAAATATTGGTGTTAAAATTTACATTACAGGTATATTCCTTTTATCTTGTAGAAAAAATAGTGTTCCTAACTCGTGCGGAAAAGTGGCACTTTCCGCACTTGTTAGGAAATATACTATTAAACTTTCGAACCCCCTTCCTAAAAATCTACAGAAAAATTTCCCTTATTAAATTATTCAATTAATATCAACCTAAAAAAAAAGCTGCTTACGAAGTAACCATTTTCGGACCTAACTTCAAAAAAGGAACTGAGTTGCACGTACGATCTGACGTTCAAATCTTACCTCCCTCTTTACCCCTGCTAAGACACCAGTATCAAACAACTTAGCTCAACTAAGAAACTAACATTGTGCTTGTTCGTAAGCAGCTTATGTCTATAGAATATGTTAAACTTGACTACTTCCGATTGACCCGATCACCAACTGATAACACTGATGTGCAAATTTTAAAGAAAGATGAAAAACAAAAAGCTGGTAATCAGGTTAATCGCAAAAACGTTTCCAGAACGGAAAGCTCTATTGTATAGCGCTGCTAACGTCAGCAGTCGTAGATTGGACCCATCGGACCCACGCGCAAGACCATATGAGAATAGGGGTGTATCGTTACTCAAATAAATTTGGCAGTCACAGTGATTAGTAATAATGGTAATAATAACAGTTAAATCTCAAATATTTTTGGCCTTGAAGTGTCCAAATTAGCCCACCCTGTACATACAGTGTGGTAATTTTTTCTTAATAACATTTTAAACTGTCATATTTTTTTTATTTTTAAATTTATTTGAAAAAATTAAAAAAACATACTGTAGGGTTGATTTCCAAGTTTGCCGGTGCTTTTCCGTCTTGTTTTAAGGTTGCCAAAATCATCCCTCTCTACAAAGGTGGTGATCAATCAAATCCTTCGAAT